TGTACGGCCCAAGCCGTCGGGTTCTCGGCAGTTTGGCCCTCGTTAAACATATTTAACTACGGGGGATCTTCCCGGATTATATAAACTGATTTCTGCCTGACCCTGTTCACTATCTATATCTATATCTATGGGCAGGGAATCTATATGTCGATTGAATCTGCTTGCCCTCTCGCTATTCGTTTGCGCGGGTGGGCTTTCACCTTGGAAATAACCTGACAATGATACAGACTTCAACATCACCAGCTACCCGCCTGACTTCCAATCACCCATCGTCCCCATGCAGGCACCCGCCTACCCGCTGTCCCAGCTTCAAGCCCCCGGCCACAATGGAGCCCCCGTAACCTCTGGAGAGCTCGGGCACTCGGTAACCCCCCAGCCCGTATCAGCCAGATCCTCATCCAACGTATCCTTGGCATCACCTCTGTCTCAAGCCGCCAAAAGGAAACAAGAAGCAATGTCCCCCGGAAACCCAAGCATGGACGAAGCCGCGCGACTGGCACAGGAGGAAGACAAACGCCGCCGCAACACAGCTGCCAGTGCCCGCTTCCGCATCAAGAAGAAGGAGCGTGAAAAGAACATGGAGCGCACCGTTAAGGAGATCACGGCCAAAAATGCCACTCTCGAGGCCCGCATCACCCAGCTCGAGATGGAGAATCGGTGGCTGAAGAACCTGATCACGGAGAAGAATAATGGTGCCATTGCTGACGGGGATATTGCTGGCATGTTCGATAAGTATCGCGCGAGCGCAGAGGCGGCTCAGCAACAACCGTCGAACGGCTTGGAGAGGAGAAAAGCGTAAGTGAACGAGGCGGGTTGAAAGATGGAAGTGATGGAAGTGAATGGAAAAGAAAGAAAAGGAAAGTGCTATTATCATCGCCGTTTACATTAATATACCAACAGCGTTTCCCATAATGAAATCGTGCATCGCACAATCGTCTTCGAAATTTCCATGCTATGTCACGCCATGTTTTGACTTGCGTTCCCGTACAACAACAGAGATCCCCCCATTTTATTGTTTCGCGCAATTGTTCCCAAGACGTCTAATGTTTCTCTTTTGTGTTTCGAAACTCTCCCACTTGCCAATTCTTGCTATTATAGATGCCTGACTTTGGGGCGAATATCCCGGCTTACTTTGGCTTGCCGTTGCATTCCCTATCCTGCCTGAGAGTTCGACGAGATGTTGAAAGTGATTCATACCCGAAGTACAAACTTACCGTTCTGTCATCACTCCACCCGTTGGGAATGATAGAAGAGGGTACTTGAGGTAATGTTACATTGGGGAAGAGAAGAAATCAGGATTTGTCGTGGAAGTGTTCGAGGGCATGTTTGAGGTGAAGTGGATCAAAGCTGGAGAAAAGAGCGGGTGCTGTGTGATTGTCGCGGGAGGTGGGTACTTTGTCGGTTATGCGTTTTTTTTTTTTTTTATTGCCATTGACGTTTAATCGTTTGATGTAATGGGCGGTAGCTATGGGCTGAAAAGGAGGGAGAAGGGGAAGTGTTTTTGATCTTTAATGACCCATGGAGGTTGAATTGGGGTGTGGCAGAGGGACTTTGATCTAATCCGGCTGGTTGTGATTTTCTGTTTTATGGTTTTCGACTATTACCCCTTTTCATTCTATACATTCTATATTTACGTGTCTTTGCACATACACACTTGTAATTGTGAAAGTGTTTTGTTGTTCTCTTTTTGCTTCTCTGGTTTTGGGGGGGTTTCCAGTTGCTTAGACCTATTTCTCTCCAGTGTGTTTTTTCGACTCATTTTTTTCTCTCTTCTGAAATTGATAACCACCTTATTGTACTTGAGACTTGAATAACCACTGTGCGTATGCTTTCTGTTGTTATTTGGCTTTTTTTTTTTTTTTGAAGATTTTGCGCCTTTCTCACGCTCTCTATAGCTGCAGGGGTAATAATCGGCATACTTCAATATAAATACCTCTAAATATACAGGGCAGTCAACTTGCTACTCGAAGTATATGGTTAAAAGAGGGTCAAACCGAGAATGACTGAAGAAGCGTAATTATTCTGTGGTCAGCGTAGGGACGAACTGCTACTGGCTTACCTACTCCATGGCGGTTATCATCGATGTCTGCCAATCCAATTCCCCTTTCATTGTTGGATCCTCATCTCTCCCACCCCCAACAAGACGATCTTGTTCACCTGTAACGCACTAAGCAGTTAAGAAGAGACGAAAAAAGGAATTTGCAAAAATTCCGATCTCCACGTCCAGCAAAAGCAATGAATAATAACTGAACTGAGAGTGGGTATAAATTTTCAATATATGCCTTCCTCACACATCCGCAAATGAAATATGGATAAATCTGCACCTATCTCATAAAACAATGCGCGCAAAACCGCTCAATTCAACTCAATACCACAAAAAAAAAAAAAAAAAAAAAAAAAAAAAAAAAAAAAGAAAGAAAGAAAGAAAGAAAAACGGAGAAAAAAAAAAAAGACCTTCCAACTAATAGTGGTACGTAATATCAATATTCATATTCAATATATGAAACAAATCCAACACACCTTTAAACCACCCCTCACACCCCAAACCCACACGCCCACATCTCCATATCCATGGTATGCATCACCCGCCCAAACTCCAAACCATATGATATCTATGCACTCCATAAACAAACCCACCCCCCAAGCCCCAACCACAAGCCCTACGAAAACCTAACCCCCCGACTCGGATCCCACTGCCCAGGCGCTGGCATCGCCATCTGCCTCGTCAACGGCACCGGAGGCCTCAACTGCGCCTCCTGCGCCTCCACATCGCTTTGCGCTTGTGCCTGTTCGCGCGTCCGCTGCGTCTGCTCATTCATCTGTGGAGCAGGGATTCCCGCGAACTTGATTCCCCGCTCAGGGGACCACATACCTGCCACAGGCATTGACTTGAGCATGGGCATTGGCATCGGTGGCGGAAATGGAAGGGTGCTTGGTGGTGGAACGATGGAGGCGCGGATGGGTTGCGGGGCCACGAGGGGCTCTTCGGTTGGTGCTCTTGATGGCGTTGTGGGTGATGCTAGGGTTTGAACTGGAGACGTGGTGGATGTTGATGGGGTGAAGTCTGTTTGGATGGGATATGAGCCTGGAGTGGATGAACGGATGGGTTTGGTAGGGGATTTTTGGCAGGGATTTTGGTAATATGGCTGACGGTATTGTAGGGGTGGTGATTGGTATTGTGGTTGTTGTTGTATTTGCTGCTGCTGCTGCTGCTGTTGTTGTTGTTGAATGGCAGCTGACGCTGCCGCCACTGCTGCTGGAGGTGCAGTTGGAACCGCCGTTGCGGGAGGTGGTGATGTTTTTTGCTTCGGTTTTTGGATCTGTGAAATGTTGAGCGACGCCATTGCAATTGTATTCGTAATGTCTCTGTTGTTATTCATTTGTTAGCCATATTTACATACTTATATAGAAAGGATGTGTTAATACTCAACTCACCTCTCCAACTCCGCGGCCTCAATCCTCCTCTCCTTCACAAACCCCCTGCAATCATCCCGAAACCTCCCTACCAGCTTCGCCAAGTCATTGTAAAACTTCCTCCCAACTTCCACATTGCCAATAATCTCCTTATACTTTACATACCCATTCTCTAACTCCTGCAACGCCTTTTCGCGCTCCTTCGTCGACGAATCCCCCCGCCGCGCATTCACAAAGTTCCGATTCGCCTCCAGCAGCTGCTCCGCAATCTTCGCCTGGGCCTTTTCCTCATCCTCACCAAGCATCTTGCGGTCCACATCGTACTCTTGCAGCCGTGCACTGAAGAGATCTTCGAATTGGCTGGCCTCAATTCGTTGCATGGGAAATTCCCGCTCGAGACGGCCGGTTTCAACCAGGAGAGCGGCATCTATCAGTAGAGTTAGCCATAGAAATACACTTATACACACATATATAGAAAACATACGAATACTATCCCCCTTCGCTTTCTCCCTAAGCGCCTCAACCCTCCTCCTCCTCCGACTCTCCAACCTAGACACCTCATTCAAACAACCCCTCAACCGCACTGCCTCCCTCTCAACGGCATCAGTCATCACCGCCTTCCGAGTACTGGGCACAAACGTCTCAATCTCTCTATTCGTCCCGTTAAGCACCCGCAGCACCCTCTCCGTGTCCCGCAACTTTTCCTCAACAAGTCGATCGCTATTCTCCGCCGATGCCAAATAGCCCTCGATCTCCTTCATCCGGGCATGCAGCTTCTCGCCAGCGACTTCGGAGGCTTCGCGTATCCAGCGGTCCGTGCCGTACTTGGTGCGTGCACGATTATCTTCGTCCTTCTCGGCCATGAGCATCTCGACACCCTCGGTGTAGATGGCCTTATCGTTTGCTTTGAGTTTTGAGGTGTCTTTTATGGACAGACGGAGCCGATTCAGGCCCTCTTGCTGACGTATCTCTTCTGCATGGGAGAGAAGGGATGGAGGGAGGCCGAGTGGCTTTTCAAGAGCCTGGAGAGAACCTGGGAGATTGAGTGATTGGAGGAGTCTGCATCAGATGAAATGTTAGCAAGGAATACCCCCCGCACAGTATTGTACCAGGAAAAAAAAAAAATCA